ACAAGTTCCGAATTCCGACTGTTACGGCAGGGATAGCCGAGTGGTTAAGAGTGTAGACTCATAATCTCACTCTGAGCCACGAGTTCGATCCCTGCCGAGGCACAAACCTGCCTTGCAAAAATTGCAAAAATGGGGACGATACCAGCGTCAGGCCCAGGTTGACAGGCCGGCTGATGGAGGAACCCGTCACAACAACCATGACAAGTCGCAAAAGTATCAGTGTAAAGCTAGGACGTCACCCGGAAGTGGCGCGCAGAACCCTCGCCCGAGTTCTGTGGTCAGTATGCGAGGGCTACCGAGGGGTGGACCTCGGCCAAAGAAGCTAGTTCGAATTGGGACCCTGAACGTGGGGTCGCTTACCGGGAAGTCTCGTGAGGTTGCCGACCTCATGAGACGCAGGAATATCCAAGTCCTATGCCTTCAGGAAACGCGATGGAAGGGTGCGAAGGCCCGCGAGATTGGAGAAGGTGTCAAACTCTTCTACAATGGAGCAGACACCAAACGGAATGGCGTGGCCATAGCGGTGGCAGAATCCCTCAAGGACTGCGTCTCCACTGTGAACAGGATCAGTGATCGGATCATGGGAGTGAGAATGGACACGAAGGAGGGGTACTGGACAGTACTGACCGTGTACGCACCACAATCCGGTTGCTCCGAGGCGGAAAAGGATGAGTTCTACCTGGCCAATAAGATCGGTTCCGGAAGAGGACTACCTCACCATAGCTGGGGATCTGAATGGCCATGTTGGGAGGGACAGAAGGGGTCTAGAAAGGGTGCACGGAGGTCAAGGAATAGGGACAAAGAACGCTGAGGGAGAACGGATCCTTGACCTAGCCACAGCCCACGACTTAGCAATCTGCAGCACCTTCTTCGCGAAAAGGAGGACCCAGAAGGTAACCTACAGCAGTGGAGGGAGACAAACGGAAATCGACCATGTCCTGGTCAGAAGATCGTCTCTCAAAACCGTCAAGGATATCAAGGTACTGCCTGGGGAAGAGCTGGTCCCTCAGCACAGGCCTCTTCTGAGCTAGGGAGAATGAAATTTGGGAAAGCAGTGGGTCCAGACGGGGTACCGATAGAGGCATGGAAGACCTTTGGAGAGCATGGGGTGAGTTGGTTCACACTGAAGGAAGGATGCCGGATGCGTGGAGGAGCAGCACAATCGTCCCCATCTTCAAAAGAAAGGGGACGCGACGGAGTGCTCCAACTACCGCGGCATCAAGTTGACTCCCCATACCATGAAGCTGTACGAGCGCCTGGTCAACACTAGGCTGAGGGAACTTGTCCCTATCTCGCAGGAACCCTACATTTTTTCAATTTTTTTTCGTCATTGTACCATTTGCTTTTGTTGCGTGATCCTTAACTCAATCGTAAGGTGGAGAGATTGACGGAACCAATGGTTGCTGAGTAAACGGCTAAGCAAACAATCTTTGTAATTCTGACAGCTCTCTTTGTTTTGGAGTGTTTACTTCAACACACGTAATTTTCTTATTTACTAATTGCTCAAACAAGGCGTGTAGTACTACAATTTTAAGGCCAGAATTTTGCAGGATTTAATTGGGACTGGAAATTTCTGTAATGTTTATAAAGGAGTATATCACCGAACACCTGATGAGAAGATAAATGTTGCAATAAAAGTACGTCCAACATTGAGACTTACTTCGTTTGCTGAGGACTCGTTGTTAATAAAAAACTCCACCTCTCGACTTTTTAAGGAGGAGCTAACATTTGCCTTGTTGTGGCGTTATTGTAGCACCACGTTGCTGTTCCACGATGCGTCAAGTTATAGAGGAGCTCACAATAATCTAAAGGAGGAGAAGCAAAATCTAACATGGAAGACGGAGAAGCTTCTCGTTGGGGGGGGGTCGAGAAAAATCTGAAGCCGTCGGGAAAAATTGCGCGCGTCGTGGCAATGCTACAGCCTTTGATTTTTCCTGGTTTTTATGAGAGTATTAGCTTTGTTGTGGGGCTATCGGATAGTACCTTCACTGTGAATAGTTCCGGCTACTTTTCTCGAGGTTTTCGGCGCTTCTCAAAGTCCGCTTTCATCCTACGAAAGTCAATCGTCCTTTTCGAGCGCTGTACAAAGTAACAGCAGAAAGTAAACTAACTGAAGTAGTGCTCACTACTGCTTGTTCTCTACGATTGAGCGCGTGTACCTCTGCGAGACCTTGGTACCGACGCGAGCGCTGCACCTTGAGTAGGTCTCAGGATATCTGTCGACCGCGGAATCTTCCTCCTCCTTCTTTTTCCATTCCTTCTCTCCCTCTCCCTTATTTTCCGCCCTCTAAATGCTCGAACAAGTTGCGATGATAGAACACCTCTAGACCCTCACAACGAAAGAGCTTCCGGTTGACAGATTCTTGTAATCCTGTGAGTATACCACGGGCAGCGACGGAGAATGTAGCTGCTACGCATCTGCGAGCCAGGTCCTAGCAGTCTCTACCTAAAACCTATAGATGCGGTACTACTTGCACAGCAGGACCTACTTAACACAATAATGCTCTATCAGAGCCCCAGGAAATTCAAAGTCATGTAGAGGAATCCTTTCGGAGTACCATTGTATGACAGTGGACGACTATCTCATGTGTTTTATGAACCCGTTCCGAAACTGTAGCGATATGAGCGTGTGCTATGCAATTGTGTTTTGTCGGCAAACAATTACAATCAACAATCTATTGGCTTACGATTTTCTTTGGGTAGTTCCGTGCGAACGACGAGCAGAGCACATATTTTGACGACTTCTATGCAGATTTGCCACGAGGGTCACGGATCTGACAAGTCGTTCGAAGAAACGAAAGAGGCTCGAGAACAGATGTTAGAAGAAGCGCAGATGATGAGCAATTATATCCACAGTCATATTGTAGAGGTCAGAAATTAACAATCAGGCTTGCGGGCTTTTCAAACATTTCAATGCAGATGTACGGTGTGGCATGTGATCATCCACCTGTTCTGATTGTTATGGAATACTGCCCTGGCGGCAACTTGGAAGACCATCTTAGGACACAAAAGGAGTTGATTGAAGTTGGCGAGAGGATCGTTTATGCATTAGAGGTAAAACACGATTGTTCTGATATGCTTGCTTTGGAACTCAACTCATATCAGCTGCTGAGACATCTTGTTTACCTTACTTGTTAGACATTCTCTAGTTGCAAAGGATTGTCAAGCCCTTGATTGCTTACTGAAAATGTCATGAGGGAATAACGGTGACCGAACATCGAAAGGTGACAGAAAACAAGTGACAGAATTAGGTCATCAGAGACAACTCACGCGAACAATGCTCCACGAAATGCCTGCCTTTTTGGTATCGTTACCATCCGCAAAGAATATACCACTCTTGTCACTCAAAACGACGAGACAAAGAAGCTAGAGACATGTGGTTATTGCAACAATTGCAACCGATTACCTTCTCTGCAAAACAGCGGCTTACATGCGGATACGTGTGCCCATAGAGTTGCCTGGAGCGTTGTAGGAATATTTTGGAGCGTCGTAGGAATATCTCCAGCGCTTTTGCCGGTAATCGTTTGCGTCCAATCCTGCTGATCAAGCTTGCCGACTTCCGACAATCCCGTCCAAGGCGCCGGCGCCACTACTACGGAGGCCTCTGTTCAAAACAACTTCCTAATGTTCTCAAAATTTGTTAATGCCGCTTCTTTTTCTACTGGGAAGTTACGTATGGGCTACTGATTCATTATTGAGCACCTACTCCCCGTCAGACTTGATCGCGGGAATAGTCTCTACAATGAATGCTCGCAGCTGTATAGGGTTCCGCTGTTGAGCTAGACTCAAAGCCTTTATCCACTGTCCTTGATCGAAGGGCCCTCAACACTTTGAACAAATTATTATAAGAAATGAACTAAACGTTGCCTATCAGGTTCATATTTCTGCGAGTATACTTAACCCTCACTGAATCGTCCCCAGTTTGAGAAATATCTTTTAATCGAATCAATATTGGGTAATTGAAAAATATGCGAGTTTTCATGCTTCGGCTGACCGTCACCTTATTAACACGCAACTGTTAGCGAAGCCAAACTTCTACTTTTGAGGGGGTCAATTTTTCCTCTCTACCTAAAACGTGCCGCGATTCTTCAGAACTCTTCGTTCGAGGAAAGTTTCAGGTGGGATTAAGCCGAATTCCCTCTGTACCGTTGTAAAAAAGCTCAACAGTACGCTTACAGGACGCTAATATCATCAGATTGAATGATAGAACAGTTTGATAATAATCGACTGATCTTAATACTTTTGATTGACAGCTCATGACCCCCTTGCGAGGACAAAGTAGCCGTTTTGATTTCCATACTTCTTAACAGTATTCCAGATCCTGTCTAGGTCCCTATTCAAGGTACCACGCACGGTAAGCTGCCGGACCTTCCAGGTCAGTATATATGTAGCTGCCAGCCTTTTAAGATGCGGGACGGGTGGCTATCAATATCCTGCCTGAGTTTTCTTGAAGTGTCACAACAACTCCCCGGCAAGCGTGATTCATCAGATGTACAGACTGTTACGTTATACTAGATACTGATACCTCAGTATAATTCAAAAAAGAACTGCTTCTGGAAAACCCCATATAATAGTGAATTTGAGGGTGATGTCCGTACGGTTCTGACATTTATGTACAATAATAATACACAAGCAAACAGACAATTTAGGCAGCTCGGGGAATGCAATTTTTACATCGGAAGAACTGTATTCATCGGGACCTTGCAGCAAGAAACTGCTTGATTTCAGCGAAAGGTTCGTGAGTAACCATGTACCGTGTTTATTTTGAAAAGTTCTTACATGAAAAAAAATTTGTCTGCGTAATACTCGGAAACAATGCCTATAGGTACAGTCCTCATCATTGCAGACCGGTGGGGCGGGTGAGCCGCGCCTGCGTGTGACTCGGCTGTGATGACAGTCGCGTCACAGCCGAGTCACACGCAGCGCGGCTCACCCGCCCCACCGGTCTGCAATGATGAGCACCATACTTGTCCACGCCTACCAAAAAAAAGCCACTGTAGGAGCTAAGTATAGGTAAGTATGTAGAAGATGCGAAACATTGCCGTCAAAGCATCACGAAACAACTGTTGAAGACAGTCGCATCAGACCTCATGACATGGTCTTTTCAGAAAGTAGTGAAGTCTTCTCCACATTGGACCAACGCTTGTTAGATGATTGCCTCTGGCAGAGAAGTGGGATAGTTCAGAGAATGAGTACGGAGGGATGATACCATAGTTGTCTATTTTCCGTCTAAGGGCACGTGCGAAACGGAAACTAGACCACTTCCTTCAAACCAATAAAAATAAGAAATAAAAATAAAAATAAAAAACAAAGCTCAATTCTAAAATTTCAATATATGTAGATCATATCACAGTTTTAGATATCGATGTTGTAATCATTATAAAAGTACAAACTAATTAAATAACAATTAATTCACATAGATAGAGGGTCATTCCCCCTTATTTCAGCATCTCCTGCACCGCTACTTACCCCACTGCAAAGCATCATTCACCTTTCGAACTGACTTCTATATCTATGCAAGTCTTCACCCAACAAAAAAACGCACCATCCCGCGGCGTTGTCCACATGATTAGTCACTCTTGAAGGGAAATTGATGGAAAACGCTGCGGCGGATAGACTTATTTCACGCCTCCTAACACCTCACACCAGAGTTATGTGATGAGGAGTTACACTAGTCTAAACAGAGAATAATCACCGTGGCGAGTAATCACTGGTGTGTCCTTCTAGCTCTGTTCAAAATTTTTCACTGCTGTTTATCGCCGATTCTGGACAATCAGATCAGCATTAGGATGGATTGCACATTCACAAGGTGGCCATCTTTATTCGTGGTAACAACAGGTCCCGTGCGATCATTTCATGCGGCAGCAGACAAAATTTCGAAGGTTATTGAAAGGCACGTTCCGTGATAAACGGAGGCTATAACCTCATAAATGTGTCAGATGATCCGGTAGGCGATTGTAGAGGCTGCACTGCATTCAAAACTTGGAAAATGGCACGCAAAGCACCGGAAACTTCGATTTTAGGCCCAAGGAGGCCCATGCCGGCCTACATTGCCCGTGTCGTCGTACTAATGCCGTTGTGCTCTCTCGCCCGTCAATTTCTGTCTCTCTCTCGCATTGTTGGTTATCGTCACCTTCTGCATATCATTGTTGATCTTGACCATCTTACTATCAGTCTCGTCCAAAGATCGTGATCAAATGTAAGAGGGAGGGTAGTATTGAGGGCGGCTTTTCGTATTTTTTTTCTTCACTACTCAAGCAACTAGCTCAAGCAACTAGCTTGCACTCCTGTTTTTGAAACCTATTACCCACGATGTGCAGTCGCGGGAAGTGCCCTTAAGGGAGTACTGAGAATGGTAGTGCTCGTTTTGTATACTCGGAACTTTTGGACCTCTGAAGTGGACGACCACGTTAAGTCAGGGCATTGGATAAATTAATCCACGTGAAAACCTCAAGAGAGTCAGTAATATTAACATAACTAAAAACTAGATTCACTCGCCCATTTCGCCCATCTCTTCGATCGCTGCAAGCGGCTTCATCTCTTTGATAACCTGTTAACACTCAGCACTAGGACAACTGGTCGATTGCCAGTACTCTTACCTTCATTCTATCTGCACTCGTTCAGAAGAACAAATTTTCTAAACGCTCCTTCGAATAGCTGGGCAGCTCACTTTTTAAATCCTCTCGAATTTTTGAGTGGATGCAGCATGCAGCAATAGAACGCACCTCCAGGGGATTGGATTCCAGGTCACATCAAAATCTCTGATTTCGGATTGTCCAAGCTGGCTGGTGAACTCGAAAAAATCAATGGCATCATCTCGGATGAACCAGCGCCACAAATTCCGCTACGGTAGGATGCACTAAACAGATCGATTCATAGATTACCACAGTTGCTGAGAATCAAGTGCTCGCTGCAGAGTTCATTTTGACTGGAAGGGTGTATGACTATGCCATCTACGAATGGTCGAAATGATCTGTTCAGAATTGCACTCTCAGTGAGAGAGCGTAAATGTAGGGGGGAATCTTCTTGGGCCAAGTCCTTTTCTGATGTATGTGGCCCCTTATTAACATGCAGTAAAGGGACTATAGTGAGAATTAGAGACGAGAATTCTGGAGTGCGTGGAGTGCGAACGACACAATTTCCGAGGTTCACGTGATTTTGGGTGAGGAGCACACTTCAGAGTAGAAGAGCACAACACATTCCTTTCTATACACTTATTAAAAACTGTTTTTTTTTGCTTGCTCACTAACACTGCACTCAATTAGTTGAACAAATGCAGGTGGATGGCGCCGGAATCATTACATCGGCCGATGAAATTCAGCACAAAGTCTGATGTCTGGTCATTCGCTGTTATGTTGTATGAGGTATGACAAATCACTAATTTTTTTCGCCATAATTCGGTCTAGAGGCTGCGACGGAACGGGAGCAAGCTGTAGGGCGTCAACTACGAAGCATACAGTCCGCAGGTAAGACCCGAAAATGTGTCCTCCTTGGTCTGTTAATAGTGCCAGATTTTCTTCGGATGAAAGATGACCGACGTGGCATTTAGCTGCTCTCTAAAATCATCTGAGTGGGCAAATTGCGTGGGAATTTGATCCCACATCGAATCCTGAGTGAAAACACATTGCGCTCAACCATTTAGCAGGACTCGCCTTGAATCACATTCGCGGCTTCACAAAAAGTGACGAGAGCACTGCGTACAGCATAAATTGGAGGTCCCCTACCCGTGGCATGTGGCGTATCTTCAAAATGTGACTTATCCGTCGTAAATGTTGGCCTAACCCTCAGAGGCACGATCCCGCGATCGAAAATGAAAGGTTATCTTTCTCAGCTATTGTCGTGACAATCTTCGCTTTTTGACGCCTCAATTTCGAACGTTCCGTTCTGTATCACTTTCTGTGAGGTTTTTGTCATGTTCTAGGCGCAGTTCTCGCTCTATCCACTTTCATCGCTTCTGTTTTAAACGGTTTCCTGTAATTTTCTTTTTGCATATAGGATGCTAAGATGGACCATTGCCGGCTTCTTCGCACGACTCTTTTATTGCAAATCAGTTCGAAGGGGTACAAAGATGCGAAAGCTGCTAGGAATATCAGCGAAAGGCTTGGCCCTGACAAGGGAGGTCTTTCAGGTTCATGGCGCGCTTTTTGGAAATGGTTTGTTGCATGTTGTAGGGGTCCATATAAGGGTCACAAAAATGGGTTTCATTTTTGCTATGCGTTTATGGGAATGCCAAAAAATGAGTGAAAACAATTTGACAAGAAAGGGCGATTTTAACCGTCTTATTGGGCTCTGTTGTAGCTGTAACTTTGAGAGTGCATAGTTTATGAGGTGTTCCTTCACTATGTATCGAAAAGAGAGCAAAATAAAGTCAAAAGAAAGTGCATGGAGAAAAGTAGTACCGAAGTTACTTCAACGATTCCCGCAACCACTGTTTCGTGGTCGACGGATGGCGGAGTGGATAGTGCGGTGGGCTCTCGGAAGGAGGTTTGTGGATCGGATCCTCTTGGCGACATGCTTTTTGCATTTTTCGGATACTTTTTGCATTTTACGGATTCCCGTTTCCTAAAAACGATATTCTGTTGCCACGCGGAGAAATACGAATACCACCAGTAGCAGCAATTTATTTCACCTCAAACTTGGGTAATTAAACAATAGTGATATATACCTGACTTAATAAAGGCGATAGACATGTGAAGACTGAAACACTCGGTCAGAAGAGGGCTGGGAAAAGCTGGAATATTCTGAATGAGCAAGGTCAAAGGGCGCATAGGAAATGATGGCGCATAGAGAGAGAGAGGCGCTGCGTCCCACGGGCATGGGGCGTCTGAGGCATCATCGTGAAAGACATCTGAGGCGCAACTGATGGTTTGTCATATTTATATTGTTTATGAATTTCTTAGATTTTGCTAACGATAAGCTCAATTCCCATCACCAAGAAGCAACAAGAGCTTTCTCCAGATCTGAGGATAAGCTCGCTTTCTCATTGCCGTCATGTGACGTGAATTCCTTAGTTCCGATCGCATCGGAGCTGCGATATTTCCTTATGTTCCTGCGTGCGTGATCTATATAACATGGATATATGCCATTTAAGACCTCATTCTGTACACTCATAGTTCACGAGTCGACCCTACTTAACTATTGCGCTCTCGAAACATTACTGAGGAAACTCTTGCTGAAAGTTGGGCTACGGGCATGACTGGATGCCCTACTCACGAGTACGGCGATCATTTTTGACAGTACGGGCGCAACGCAATGCCTGATTTGCTGCTGAAGAGCATTCTTGCGTTGAATCGTTTGTCAGCCCGGCGACAGCCAAGTGCTGTTAAGCGCGCATGTTGCGGGCGTCAAAAGGGCCTCGGCGCATAAAATTAGTGTCGGAATCGTGAGCGGGACTACCAGTTACTCCTGTATACGAACTTTAACCCGATCAGCGCACCCAGCGTAACTTTAATCAACCTGTGTCCAGTCTAAGAATTGTGCAATACATGTGTATGTCTCTTTTTAAAACATGTAGTTGTTTGTTATGAGGGTATCCTGCTATATATAATCCGCTAAGTATGTCTGTAAGTGTGTGTGTTGTGTGTGCGTCTGTCTGTCTCTCACGAAATTCATAGCGAGCGTCGCAGAAGAAGATAGGACGACAGTTCCAAGAAGTGATATACGTGGCATGACGGGAACACTTTTGGTGGGTGATAGAATGTGATTCGGGTAGTAGCCAATGAAGGTTGGCGAATCGCTTTGA